GGAACTTACCGCGAAAGTGATGACAAATAGTATTTGAAAATTTGTCAAATTCTGATGTCGATATATTACGGATTTGATTAACTAAAATAAACAGCTCGCAAAAAGCATGAAGAAAGTGTTTATTGTTTATCGTTGACCAAACGGTGAATAGAAATTAAAAGAAAACAAAATGTTCACAAATATACCAGGTTAAATTGAACTGTTTACAGGTTTAGAAATGATAAAAAAACGCGCAGCTTGTAGTGAAATGAAGCTGGAGAATATCTAGAAGCGGCCTTTGTTCGTTACTATTTTCTAGCATTTTTCACACGCACATACGTTGATTTTTTGCTTACTTATCCATCAAATTGGTTACGCACGGGACTTTTTTACCTTCGACACATCTTTTTTTACTTTCTCTGAATCAATAATCACTTCATTTTTCACTTCACCTCAGTGCGTGTGGTTGGATGGGATGATGGGGGCGCCTGCGAGATTTGAATTGAAATGTTTAACACTTAGTTCTGGCTTTCATGTTCTCATCACACGTTTTGTTAACCTTTTAGTTTCAAATATTAAGCCTGCATTTCGAAATATGCCTGTTCTACCTATGTAACATGTAACACTCCTAAGTAACTTGATAGGTTTGGTAACAAATTGACTTTCGGTGAACAGTTGTCAGATAGGGATTTAATGCTCTTTATATGCAACACATTTCATCAAATACATTTTAGTTTAACTAATCTTACCTAAGTGAAAATTGACTTAATGTCTCCTCTATCATGGTCATGGCCGTATATATATATATATATTGAAATGTTTAACACGTACATGTAGTTCTTGCTTTCATGTTCTCATCACACGTTTTGTTAACCTCTGGGTTTCAAATATTTAGCCTGCATTTCGAAATGTACCTGTTTTACCTATGTTACATGTAACACTCCTAACAAGAGATGAAAGTACTAAAGATTCGTTGTTGAGATTTTTTTCTTTTTATAATATATATATAAACATAAATTGATGAGCGTTAAGAGTCAAATGTACTGATATTTTAAGGAGTAGCTAAGGGATACGGTCCGAAACTTTGAGAGTATCTCGGAATCTTATCCAAGGCTTTATTGTCATATGGGTATACACATATGCAATGTAAACATATTTCTTACCAAATTCGTTATAAAATAGTATGCTCTCTGTGACGAAACTTGATTCAATTCTTATAGAAAGGAGAAATTCAGCTGACCTCGGAGCTGAGATTTTTTTCGGTGTTAAAATGTTTAAAAGGGTACTCGTCGTTCCCAATATTTAACCTGGTTGTCCATGAGGTATCAAGTGGTCCATAAAAGAAGAATGTTGTCCGCCAGGTGTTTAAAGGCAGGACACAAAAGGGGAAATTATTTGAAATAAGAGAATATGAAAGAGAGATTGCTTTCAAGAGGGTCCTCAATGTCAGTTGTTTAAATAAGGGTTAAAAGGTACCGCTTAATGATTTTAATACCTGCTTTAACTAAAGGTTCACTGTCGTGATTCACACATAATTTTGAATCATACTGAAATATCTTTAAAATGATGAACAACATGAAACAAAAGGTGGTACATATATATTTCTTAAAATGCTCATATTCCAAGAAGTACACCACGAGAGCTAGCAATAAAGGAATTAGTAATGGCATCTAGCCACAGATTTGTTATCCGTTTAAACCATTTGAAGCTGAATCTTAGGTATATCGTCAAAACTTGACTCAATAACTGAACTACAGTATATAGTATATCTTTTTTGTAGATGAGAACACAATACAACGACTTGCTGGGTACGAGATATACCTGTCTAATACACAAGATTGGACATTAGGAAACAGGTGTCACAAGGACGCCACTGCTGACAAGGCGTTCATGTCTGCGATACAGAATGTCCAATGTCCAGGTGTCGCCCAGTATCTGACCATCTACAATGACCGTCGAGAAAAAGCCAAAACGTGGTACTCTGATGATGCTACACTGGAACTGTGTGAGGTACAAGTTTATGGTGAGTTTACACATGTCTATCACAGTGATGAACTATGGATGTCACTAACATATCATCCTATACTGGAACTGTGGGAAGTGAGAGTTGATGATGAGCTAACAATAAATATTACAGTTCAGAAATATGGATATTCTTATTAAAATATGACATGTATTTAACTAATTTACAAATTTGACTGAAAATGTAATACAATCTTTAAAAACGGATTTATTTTTAATTTTTGAATGTTAGATCAGAATTTACCAGTATCTATTTTATTTTTATTTATTCATTTCCATAATTAGTATGTTTTAACATTATCATTACTATTTTTTGTAAACGCAAGATATATTATTTGATGCTCTTGTGCTAGTCGATGTGGTATGTTGTATTCGTCTGCAAAATCCATTATGGATTCGTCTTGTTGTTAAAAATGCGATATGTAACACAAATATTTTACATATTATCTTGTGTTTATTGTGCCGTTGCTTTAAGATATCTCCAAACCGGTAATATCAAAAGTTCATGATTCCAACAATATAAAACAAACAAGATTATGCATCGGGGACATGTTTCCCATTGTGTCAAAGTATGCGTTACATAGTGAAATCATGATTAAGGAAAAATAACGCTGAAATACAGCAGGTATTTGACTTTTGATGAATTAAAAATGACCCGTTTAAGAAAGAAATAGCATCCAGTTAATAACCGTTTTATCCAAATACAACCTTGTACAATTAAGGCGACATTTCGATAAGTTTCATTCAAGCATAAAAATGTAAAAAAAAAACAAATGTTGGGAACGCACCTGTAGTGATAAACCATTCAACAATGGTATTGATAGTTTAATTCGCTTAAAAGGTGTCATTACACCTGCTTTGTTATGTAACCTTATTCATTAAGATTATATGTATATTACATTGTATATGCGATAAATAATTGTAATTCTCAGACATTTGGATATTATACCCACCAACTCCACTCCTAACGTCACGGTAAGTCGTTAAAAGAACTTTTTTCAATACCACAAGTACGCATTCCTCTTAAATTAAACCGTGTGTCCCTTATACTTTAAAAGTAATAACAATTACCTTAACCTTGTAGATAAGCATGCATTCACATCAAAACAATGTTCAAATTTCAATTCTCCTTCAGGTTGTCCAGTTGGGAAGTACGGAAATGGAAATTGCAATAACGACTGCACTTACTGCCTCGGTAACATATGTAACCCAACATCGGGAACATGTGGTACGTATAAATACATGAGAGGATAAATTGCGCTTTTCTTGGTTTCAACGTAACGCGAAAAAACGATCTAGCGAAAAAATACAGTTCGTTTTTGTACAACGGTTGTCGTTCGCGTTTCTTGTTGCGTGGAAAGGCAAAATAGCGCCATTTACTTTTCTAAAACGGAACGTTATCGCACGACCAAACAACGACGCACCGTTTATGAAAATAAAACGGCACTTTTTCACTTTGTTGTGCCGTCACATCGCCGTTAAAAATCAACGTTGCTATGGCTCCAAGGTACATGTAAAGTACGACAAATATTTAGTACTACATTAAAGCTGTTGCATATTGGAAGGTATAGTGGTCAGAACCCTGAATGTTTTCACTGTATACAGCAAATTATACGGTTTAGACTCGCACTTTAAATGTCATAACAAGACATTTCTCAGTTTGGTCACAACGGACACAGGACGGAGGAAACCTTTTACATTCAGAGTAAATGGGATCATATTTAATTATGAAATGTTGGGAATAGTATTTAACAGTCAATTTGTATCTATAAACTCAATCCATCAAAAACCTTCGTCAATCAATTATCGTATATTAAATTTGCTTCATCGTCATATATTTCAGTCTATTATATCGACATTCTCCTTGTACAATGTAGATACATTTTTCTATAATATATATGGACTTTGGTATTAGGATCCGATAATAGCGCAAACAACCTTGTAAGACATAAAATACACAACGGTATACATATCAAAATGAATTCAAAAGACATTTCACAACATGTAAATGTTCAACCTTATATTGTCTTTATTGCTCTTGATACGTTCATACTTTGATGAACCAACTGTCCACCAGACTGTAACCTGACACAACAAGCGACCACNTGTCTGTATTGCTCTTGATACGTTCATACTTTGATGAACCAACTGTCCACCAGACTGTAACCTGACACAACAAGCGACCACAAATTGTATAGTTTGCTAATATGACAGTTTGGTTTTGATGCCTGCGTCATCCTTTTAATATTCTTCCTTAGTTTTCATCACTACATCTACAAGCATATACACAAACATTCAGTGCTGGGCGTGGTCCATCTGAGTATATGCCCGTGTCCGTCCATCTGTGAGATAGAATGTGGCGTAGCTAACTGCACATGAAGAAAACGTAATGACTGGTTATCATTAGAGCGATATAATTACAAAGAATATTTCCTATTGTATAAAACATTAAAACGGATACCTTAGAGTAATTGTTAAAGTAGTGGGACGTCATATATTCCATTGTGACGTCAAAGCTTATGTCAATTGTCTTTTCCGATCAGAAAAGGAATAATGTATTCACATGAGAAACATACGATTTTTTTAGACATGAGTTCTGAATGATGTTAAAGATAAAGGTCCCCATACTCGTTATAGTTGATTATCATGTCTATCTAACTATCGTTAGTTAATTGCCAAACTGTAAAAGACACTCGGTCGATTTTGTGTATTTATACAATTAGAAAATAAACCAACGAAAGTTAGATACGCATGGTAACCCATTTGTATCCGTAGCAATTCATTAAATTACGATTTCAGATGATTGCGCTGCCGGATACTATGAAGATGTTGGGAATTGCAGTCACTGCCCGGTTAATTGTAAAGGAAATGTATGTGACAGTCCAACTGGAGCATGTTCAGGTACGACATAGCGCTACCCCTCGCCCCCTGAGACCAGGTCTATTTCCCGAGGCGAAGCCGAGGGAAATAGGCATGGTCAAGGGATACCAGAAACATGTTTTATCCCTCAACCCCAAACTTTAACCATTTTATTATACCGATACACACTGGAGAGATCGTTTTAACTAGAAAATATTTGTAAACCATAAGCTGTATAGCTTCACGTTCCAACTAGTCTTTTTGGTACTTTCCGGGTCCCTTTCCTCGAGGGGAGTCTTAAAATCACTTTCATCCAGTTCCGAAAATCTTGACAGCGCCATAATTGAAGAAACAAGAGAAAGTGTTGTCTGCACAATAGGATGCGCGTTAGGTAGCAAGCTCCGCCCGCCTCATGCGTCGGTTCCGATTTCGGTGACAAGCTCCGCCCACCTCTCGCCTGATTGGCTCGGCGGAAAAACTCGGGTGTAGGTGTGTTTTAGTTCAGGAGCTGTGTTTTGGTTCCCAGACTAACACACACTTGACTAACACACAGTCAGGCAAAAGTGGGGATATATTCGATTTAACCAATTACTTTTATATAGAGTAATAAAGTAGAGGTATAATAACAACAATTATCAGACAGTAAGCAATACTGACGCATGCATACACATACTTTATTTTTGTCTCGGGGACCTTGTCGGGGAGCAAAGTCAAACAGTTGTACTGAGGTGTTTGTTACAATTTCATGGTGCAGTTTGCTGAAGAAGCACACAGCGCTTGCAAACTATCTATTCTACTAAGAGATCTTGTACATGTGAGTAGTTACTACAAATTGTTGATATAGGACATTCTACAACTGGGGAAGTAAAGTACCAGGATACAGAAGTGCTTAGTACTTTATATGGTCTACTTCTGTCATTTTTTTCCTACATAATACTCATGTCCATTTTAAACATTCTACCTAAGTTGCAACGCCAAAGTTTGAAAAAATTCTGACATTTGTTATGCGGTTGAAGTGCTCAACTATCAGGGCAGTTTGATTACTATCGTCGTCGAGATTATCTGCTCTTCAACATTTACATTACATCATTGTTTTTGTATCAGTTTATATGGAAACAATATTTAAACTCAGATCGGGGCATCTTTTTTTAATAAGGGGAATAATGGGCGAGGTCCTGGATGTATTCGTAGTCTGGCTAAAGAACCAAAACGAAAAGCCGAAGCACAGAAATCGTCTAATCATATCCCAATCATTGTTTGTGGGAGAATCATGTTTAATTTCTTGTTTTATCTCTTTATAATCACTGATCATACTGAAAAAAGTCAAACTTATTGCAAAAGGACCAAAACGACAGGTCGAAGCACAGAAATCATCTTATCATATCCCAAAGGTTGGGATTTGTTTGTGGAAGAATCATAATTAATTTCTTGTTATATCTCATTATAATCACTGACCCTACTGAAAAAACAAAGTCAAACTTATTGCAAAGGAATGTATTTGTTATTTCCACATTGAGGGATAACATTTTAGTTTTGCTTTTGGTTTTTTATTTTGTTTTCATTTCAGACTGTGATTTTGGATTTTATGGTGGTTTCTGTAATCAACCCTGCCCTCTTAACTGCAGAAATAATGTTTGCAACATGGACAACGGTCAGTGCACAGGTATTTTAAAGTTTCCGTTCACGTCACAGTTGGCTTTCGTAAGTAGAAATTAAAATTTAAATTGTTGAAAATCACTGTTTTAAGTATAGTATTAAAATGATATGGGAAATATTAATACCCCCTACTTTTATGGTTGGTATTACAGAGAAATCTCTGCTCCGCGGATATGTGGTTATCTAACCTGATGGTCTGCCTAAGTTTAAACAACCTTGTTACACCTTTAATGAAAGGGATGCCAAAACGTCGCATCGAAGTCAACGCATTTCAGATATATTTAGCTATAAGAGGCATTCTCAAGTTAAAGATATTTGTTGATCACGTATAATAAGAGATGATGTTTATTTATACGATAATATAAAATGATTTATTACACAGCAAGGAAGATATTTCCCCATCTTCCCGATGGGGATCTTTGATATTTATGTCCCACTATAATGATCACAAGCAACAATACTGGGTGTTTGAGTGATTGATATCGCAAACACTCCATGCATAACCCAAAAAAGTTCCCATTGTAGCGACAATATCGTTTCTTTCCTTCACCACAATTAGTACATTTTTCATTTTGTTTTTGTTATTGTTGAGTTTCGGTTATGTTTATTGGTTTTGTTATGTTTATTTTTTTTCCATTTTTTTGTTTTTAATTTTCTATTTTTTAATTAGATAGAACAACAAAAAATCCAGAATCATATAAATTAGTTTTCAGTGTTAAAGAAATGATTTAACTTTTATTAGACTGGTATTGGTCCGAGGCCATGTGTGGTTAACTGTATGCTAGGTTGGGTTGTTCTTGTGTAATACTAGCAAGGAACAGATCGGTATTAAATAAGGTATTGTTTTTGCTTATTTCTTCACAACGTATTTAGGTTATTCTGGAATGATGTTTTACAGAGACCCCATATATTCACTGCCTTTGAAACAAGGTTGAATGAGGTTATTTATACCTGTCAGTGCGCACGAACAGGTGTGTGACCGTACAACGCACCAAAAATACCGTGCGCACACCGTGCATACATCGTTCAAACACAGTCCGCACATCGTCCACCAATTGTGCGCACAACTGTGCGATTTAACCATCGTTCGTCCCGTTGTGCGCTTCTCTCCGCACAACTTTACGATTTGGTACAATTTGTTGATCAATATTATGGAATAAAAAAAACCCCGGAAAACTCGTATGCAATAATGTACACTGTTCATATTACTGTAATTTTTCATCACAGTAATAAAGATAACCTACACTTTTACAATGCGTGTAACACAGTATACAGTGACCGTTAGACTGTCAAGAATGGATTTGGCTCCTAGCTAGGTAACACAACAGGGAAATAACAATTTGCTGAGTAACCGTATGACCGTTATGAATACACAACTGGACGTTGAGTATTTGTTATTTGCATTCGTTCTGATCTATAGCTCCCCTTCGCCTGGTTTTCACACGTTGGCGAGTTACGTAAGTGCCCCGGGCGGGGAAAAACTACGGTTCAGGTAGAAAGTGGCTATGTTTACCTTTGTTGCCGAGACTGTGTTGTAATGTTACATGTGTCGATTAAGGTCGTTTAAAAAACACCGAACACACTATTTCTAAATTTAAGAAAGTGTAGACAGAAAGATTAGTGTATTCATACTAAATAACATACTAAACAATCAAGTTTATATGTTTAAACACCAAACCGTATATATTGTTTAGCCATTCCTCAATTTACATCAACCACGATTGTTATCGCACAACGTTCGTCGATCGTCCTCACAAATGTGCGCAAGCAATGATCGTCCAATTTTTTATCGTTCGCACTTCGTGCACACATCGTTCACACTCCGTGTACACATCGTGCGCACACCGCACATCGTGTAACGTTGTGCAATCCCACAACTGTATAATGTAATGCCGAGGTCGGTGACGAAACAATTAGAAAGCAGTCTTCTGGAAAAATCATGAAATATTATTACTCTTCAGTCAAGGAATTGAGAAGGGTAATTAAAAAGATTCGATCGAATTGAAGGGAAATCAGTAATGATTAAAAAATTGTTTTACGTGTTGTACTGAGTAATCTTGAAAGCAATTAATTTAGTAATTAATAATACACAATGCATTCGCCAAAATGAGAAGAGCAATTTCATATTAAGTGCGCAACTATTACCCGTTTATTATCAACAAGGGATCATTTGGACTGGTACATTCCAGACGGCTGCTCCACTGGCTTTTCAGGCGTATACTGTAGATGTCCATTCAACTGTAGGAGCACTGACTGCCCTACTGGCAAGTGTACAGGTAATCATTTAACAGTATTGTAATACAAAGATAATGGTCAATATTCCGAGCAACTTCATTTAATAAAGCAGTTTAAGTGACAAGTTCATTATAATGACTGCTGGGATATAAATAAAAGAAATGGAGAAATCAATATTCTACACTTTGATATTTCAATTTTATTTCTGAAACAAACTTTTTTTAGTTTTGATTGTATACTTTTTAAATCCGTAATAAAAGCGGATAAATCATATAATAAATGATACTATTTCAGACTGTAACGATGGATTCTACGGACTAGCCTGTACACCTTGTCCTGTTGGCTGTAGCAGTAACGCATGTGACAAAACTACCAGCCATTGTTTACGTAAGTAGTGTTTATGATCAATGATGTTTTGAAGACATCACTGGGGTTCTAACACTTAAAGTTACGATACACTCGATTACAAATTGTAGGCGTTGTAAATACCTCAAGTTAGAGATAAAACAAACTGATGTTCATTCACAAAACTAAAGACGCTGCTTTCTGATACTGAATATGAAGAAGTTCATGCATAATGTGAAACGTAAAAAAGTATTATATTGTCTTGCCGCATTTGACAATCGCAATTTTTTTCTTTAACACTTTTTTATCTTCTACGTTATATTGGTTACCGACTGCTGTGTCTCCAAATGTATTTTCTTTAATATTGGATAAAATGCAGGGGTATTGAAACAGATTGATTTAAATCAACTATATTCCGTTATATATCATTATCATCATTTAAATAAATGATGAGGGAGGCGGGTTTGTACAATTGCATTACAGACTTTTTCAATGATCAAATGCTGGTTGAAAGCAATGAACAACATGTTCTATAAAGTTAAAAAAGTTACAGCAATACATGCATAATTGGTTTGAAAATACAAACAGTTCCATAGTAAAGTCAATAACATGACAATGACATAAGCTGCCAAACAACTATGAGATATCGTTGGTTTTGACACTTCAGTATCAGTCCTTGTCTTGTTGCGGCAATCAATCATTTGTGAGCTCCCCTGGTCCGGAAGATTACATGGGATAAAAAGCTGACAAGTTTGCTGTGGTTTATGACGCTGTCCTGTTTGCAATGTGATATGAGAAAAACCCCATAGATAATGTTAAGAAGTTGAGCTAATTAATTTAGGTGTAAACGGAGTTTTACTGATCATGTAATATGTCTTAAATGTTATATAAACCTGCAATAGCAGCGATCATAGTGAAATGAGATTAATTCGAAGAGAGATTAATAGCATTTATTACTTGTAACTGAGCGAGATCGGGTTATCTCAGTCGAGGGTTAAGATTATGTAACACAATCCCAACCGAGGCGTAAGCCGAGATAAGGATGTTACAGAATCTTAGCCCGATACTTAGATAACCCGATCTTGCTCAGTTACAGGTAATTTATTTTTTCTCTCGCATCTTTTACTACTTAATCTACATTTGAATGCTTCCGCATAAAAATGTAGTCCGTCCTTACATAGATAACAACGTATTTCACAGATTATATTGTATCTACAACATCAAATATCTAACAACGTCAAAACTACATATAACGACAAAAACAGAACATGTATCATGCAGATTGTTAATTGCAAGCAGTAAACGTGCGGAGGAATACATCGCATTGTAAAAATTCGGCTAAATGTCACGTTAATGTACAAGACAGATCGGATGATATAGAAAATCTGTCATAGGGTATGACGTGGGGTATCGCTGTCTGAGTGTTGAGTAAAGGTGATTTCATAACAAAATAAGTTAGCTATTTCGCCCAGATGAAATTTGTGGTTATATTGGAAATATCACAGTTAAATAACATTTGAAAGCTTATATTACTTTTTTTGTGATAAAAGCTACATTGTACTGTACAGTTATTAAATCTGTATAATGAAACCTATTATATAGATATAAATGAAATTAAGCCTATTTGAACAGATTGCGATGACCCACTGTGAAGATCAAATTTGAAAACAAATGAGAGAAACAGGCCTTATTGGCTTCTTGCTTGTTTTTATAAGTGTGGTATCGGAAGCTATTGGAGAATAATAATGTAGTTCATTATAAATATCGACTACATCGACTCAAGTTTCTGTCTTCTGCATATTTATTTAAATTCTTTACAGAATGTGGATTTTACGGTAGTTTTTGCAATCAGTCCTGTCCTGTACATTGTAAAAACAACGTTTGTTACATGGTCAACGGTCAATGTGTAGGTAAGAAAAACTTCCAATCATCAAAAATGACAACGTTGTAACTTGTTAGAAAGACAAAATCTAAATGTGATATTTATAAAATTCACATTTAAGAAACGTCAAACAACATTCATCAATTGGAGAGTATGTATCTACAAAAGTGTCTCCCTTTATCGAGCGACTTGTTGTTTAGCTGTAAAATAAATCATCAAATAATCATCTGTTTAACCCACTACTGATTTAAACGGGATATGGGGATACATCTACAACCAACCAGCACCTTATTCGGTACAGTGTATATCGATAGGGAATATGCCAGGCAGTTGAAGGACAAAACAAGTCAATAATTTCATCACATCGTTGTACAGGTTAGTCACAGCTTGACAAACTGACCAGTACACAAGTAAGTGAACTGCTGTACTAACAATAACTTGCGTAAGGACATTTCCACTTTCATAGTGAAGCAGTTTGAAAGGACTTGGGAATTAGATTTAAATTTTCAAATGGATATACAAAGGTTACATTCCTGCAACCACTACTATCCTTATCAATACAATTAAAAACAACATCAAAGAACCCTGCGATCTAAGATAAATACACTTTATCCATGTAAGAAGTTGAAGTCAACTCTTGTATATTTGAATGTTTTTATAAATCATTCAAGTTGATGTATTCTATGAGTCAAAGATTATCAGACAGAGTGATCATTCAACATTCAGTTGTATAGTCGTAATCATTATTTAGGTCGGTACTACAACATACTGGATATGGCAATATTTTCAGACTGTAATGATGGATACTACGGGCCAGCCTGTACACCTTGTCCTGTTGGATGTAGCAGTAATGCATGCGACAAAATGTCAGGAACTTGTTTAAGTATGAAGTATCATGATCAACTTTCAGGAAACCACTGGGCTCCTTGAAAATATTGATATACCTTTACCCATATTTTTATCTACATCATAGTGATTACTGATCGATGGTTTTCTAGCGGCGTCGTTTATAATTTGCTAGAGAAAGATATCTAAGAACAGATTGCTATTAGTTATGTTCAGTAGTTTTATTATTATTAAATGAAATCTGTAATGATGAAAGATTTAGTTTTATACTAATGATTCGCTGTTTGTACATAATATGATGTTGTTGTGGATACAATGAATACCATATTTTACTGGTTTTTGTTACTTTTAAGGAACTATTCCAAATTGATAGTTGTCTACAACTAGCTTATAAATAATAGGCAAAACAGTGCGATATTTATCACCAAGCAATGCAATTTATAATAAGAAGAATCAAAGTAGATTTTTCGTCCAATATCGCATCTGCAAAAGAGATATCAATATGTGTATATGTATTTAATTTTGACACTAAAGCATTTAATTTCAAAATTGTTTATATAGACAAATGCTACTTCTAGACATGATTGTGTCGAACATGTAACGCAAAGTTATGTTGTATCCTGAAACTTTATTATATGTAATTCGAAGAAATTTTATGCAAATTTCAAAATGACCCCTGAAATTCAAAATTTACATATAAGTTATATTATAAAAGATAAATTTGTTTAATGTGTACGTTTATCTTGTCTTGCTTTGAACAGTATAAGCCTTTGGTAAAAGATTGTCTATTTCTATAGAAAGGATACATGCATATTTGATCAATTATATAGACCATGCATTATCGAACTGTAATACATGGGTTCCTGCAGGAGTCATTTTGCATGTGCACCGTGGAGTATTTTATGTGCAGTGCTAGCTTTTTATAAATGTTATAATTTCAGACTGTAATGATGGATTCTACGGACAAGCCTGTTCACCTTGTCCTGTTGGCTGTAGCACTGACACATGCGACAAAACGGCAGGAAATTGTTTCCGTAAGGATATTAAATTTCAGTAACTGATCTTCATACTAATGATAAAACAAATATTTGCCCTGTGTGTTTTACTTGTGATATCATCAACGAGCATTTGCTTTTTCAATTCAATAACGTGTGTCTATTTATGAATTTGTGAGGAGACTATTCAATAGTTTACGATAAGTAATATATATATATATGAAACTCTTTGATGCACTTATTTCATTATGGCTTTTTAATATTTATTATTAGATTGTGAGGTTGGATCCTATGGCAATTTCTGTAACCAGTCTTGTCCTGCATACTGTAAAAACAACGTCTGTAACATAGAGAACGGCCAGTGCACAGGTAAGAAAAGCTAATTCTTGCTAATGAAACTTTGATGAGAAATGAAAGGACATTTACGATGAGTTGTAGACGTTAATTTTATAATAGTTAACATAATTGTACTGTTGTCATATGATAGTGATTTCATAATATCGAGATAACATTCAACAATATAAAAGAAATAATATACGTTGGCCTACACACGTACATACACGAACCACAGCCTCCGAGCTCAATCCACATGTTATAGCTTGTAAGAGTAATATATTATATTTTTACATTCTTACCAATGAGATATATTGAAAAATATTTATTCCACAAAAGTGAATGTTTTCACTGATGAAAAATATCACAAATGCTTATTTGACCAATAAAACACTGATTATTAACTGCCATGAATAACATACCAATCAGAAGACCTGGCATTATAGAAGTGACCCAAATATTCAAAGCCTAGTAAACTTAACGATACGCAGGGCTCGTGAAAATCCGTCTGAGACATTCCACTGTCTAGATTAATAACTGTTACCTACATATTTATCACGGGTAAACTATTCTCTGTGGGAAGCACAGCGTTTAATTCCACAGGTAGCTTTCATTTTTATAAATGGAAGCCAGCAGATTATGCAGGCCAGTGATTTTAACAATGTGATCAAAGGAAACTTATGTGAATTGAAACACGGTGTCAGCGTCTCCAAGTTTCAAGTTAGGCTAACCGATCGGCAGAAAGAATAAGAAAATCATGGTCATCTTTGACAGTGATTAGTTACAACTTTCATAAGTAGTGTTGATATTATATAAACAGAATAAGTATTGACAAAACCACTCTGATTTTTCCCCACTCCCAACCATGAGATTCGGCGCTTATCAACAACGCGTGGCGATCTGAGTTGATATGACGGGACTTTTATTTTAATGATTAAATTACTATAGTCATTTGCCACTCTTTATGAAAAAATTGAACTAAGTATCTACCTGATTAAAATAACTTCTTAAAGGATTTTAATAATGAGTTTTTACTTTTTTTTTTATTTTGCAGAGAGGACTATATTTTTTGGCATATATAAATGACATAGATGGAGTATTGTCAGCTTGATGTGTCGCTTCGCGTTCTGAGATAGATTTTCGTAAAAAAATGAAATAAATAGAATATCTTACAGTATCTTTAGTAATACCAACTTTATTTTACGTGTGTGTCATATATTTTGATATTTTTTACGAGTATGCAGACACTGTTTAATACTCTCTATTTACTAGCCATTTTTGTTGATAAATCGGGTGACTTATTAACCGATGTTTTCAGATTGTGCTGTTGGAATATATGACAGTTTGTGTAGCCAGCTTTGTCCTATTAATTGCAGGAACAACGTCTGTAATCTAGACAACGGTCAATGTATAGATAATACATACATCATTTAATCAAAAACTTTTACATGTACCTGGTAAATTATGATAACCATACAGATAACAAGATGCATCAAATATCTGTGCAAGCCTATTATTACCTCTAGCAAAAAAGATTTTGGACCAACAATCTCGTAGTTACCAGTAAATTAATTCGTTTATACAGCATATGATTAGCTTGTATCACGACCTGAATTAAGGCACATCCAATAATCGAACGGCTTACTTATAAAACAAATTTGGACTTATTATCTTAAAATAACGACATACATGTAGAACTTTTTCGTTAATGTTGTATAAATGTCAATACCACAGATTGGTTTCCTAATAAGATAATGCTATTCCTAGCATAACCGCAATATATAGATTTGTGTGTACATAATGCAGCGATAGGTGTCAATCTTTATTAAGAAAATCATGATAGTCAAAACGTACAATAATTGTATCGTAGAATTGCATGTATGCTGTGATTGACGAAAATGTTAACTTCAGATGACCAAGCAAATATGTTTGTAATTGATCTATTTGATAATCAAATATTTGATTCGCGATGGTAACTATTCTGATGCATGTACCACAACATCTAGATTTGTATATTACGAACAAAAAGATAATGATATTATGACATTTAATTCAGATTCTGGGAGGAAATTAAACGTGTTTCAATTTTCTAGAATGTGAAGCCGGCTTCTATGGCACTGAGTGTAACCAGTCTTGTCCTGAAAACTGTCAAGACACTTTATGTCACAGAAGTAGTGGAGAATGCGAAGGTATGATCGTTTAGTTGTATCAATGTAAATCTAACTTGGATATGGCTTGAAACATTTTTTTATACTTTATTCAAATTTCAGGAAGATGCTGGAATAGTATCGAAAGTTTGTCCTTTTTAATCACCAGATTCTTGAAGGAAACGTTTATCAATATTAACTAAATGTGATCAAGTATCAATATCTCGTTTAACAGTTCTCATACCTACTTGAACCTATCAATAGAAAAAGATAAATAAATAAATAAAACAATAGAGGATAACTTTTTATCAGCTTTATCATGTTTTCTTGATTATAACAATGGTACATGATAATAAGTTAAGATGACTGTGACAAATAATGAAAACTTCATACTGAGGAGTTAGTATTTTGAGGTAGGAACGTGCAGGCAAAAGTCGGAGCTAAACATGTACTTTATACAAACATGCTGATGCAACGAAAAAAATGTTTGATCATTTATTTTTTACTTTATCTTTTTGGATTATTTAGAATATCAAAAGAATAATTAATAATTACTTCGTTGATTAAGTTGAATAGTATATCAACTGATATTGTAATATATCCACCATTAAAATTATTTCCGATAAAAAGAGCTAATACTTTGTGTTCGTCCTAAAGCAATAGATAAATAAAATGACTATAGATACGACTAACGAGAATTTGTATGCAAAATCCCAAATGACATGTAGGTGGAAAAAATATGTCATTTTCTAGAAAATCGTACGCCTATTAAATCGAATTATCTGATGGGATTAACAACTTCGTTAATGCTATACCAGTTTACACTTTTCGTTATGTTCAAATGTACCAAAAGACTAATAAAAAGTAAAATTCCAAAAATCATAATCCTTACAGGAACAGATCCTAGTTTGGGTAAAGGGGTGCGTAAATGGGACCCAAGCTCCCCTGCAAAGTCTCGATTACATATTTACCCCGCGCTCTGGGTCCAATCTTTCTGACACTGTATACATATTATGTTTTAATTGTACCATCAACTATCTTTATCAAAAATTACAACGACGAAAAATATTTTGTGGTAGGGGTCGTATTTAATATTGCTGGATTTTCAATCTTGAAATTGACAAACGTTGACAAGTTCAAGCTGGCATTGTAATTAGAGATAATGAGCATTTTTTCATATGACCATCATAATTTATTTTGAAAATTGATCATACCCAAGTGCATATAAGAACAGGGTCTTATTCTCCTTGAACTGTCTAGGGGTCGCCATCTCAATATTTTATTTATTTTTTCATATTTTCCCTTGCTCCTTCAATTTTGATTTAAAATACCGTTTTGTATAATACTTTAGTATCGCCTCTTTTTATTTTGAAATACACAAATCAAATTACCATGTACAGTACTATTTATTCAGGATTTTTTATGACGTCTGAGTATGCTTGCGCTTGTAGTATGTGTAGCCGGTTTTTATGGCAGCCAATGTTCAGAGTTGTGTGGCAATTGTCAAGGTGTGAGTTGCGACAAGGATATGGGGGACTGTGCGATAGGATGTACAGAAGGATGGACTGGAGACACATGTGACACAAAAGGTAATAGTTTTTATTTATTTGGGACTTTATCCTATCAAACAGTTTCTAAAAGTGATCTGTTCAGTATTTAGTGTATTTATAAGATTAAATTTCAACCTTATGTGAAGAATATAATAACAAAGAGACACCCCAACTCGAAAAATGAAAAGGGGGGACAACACATACAAAATGATAACTAAGGGGAAATCCATGGCATACACAGTACAAATCATCACTTTGTATGCTGTAGTGGTAATTATAACGAAAGGGGACGCCTTACAGGCCGCCGTTGGAATAGGCGCTGGATCAGGAGTGGTTATACTGGTTCTAGTCATCGTGATCATTGTACTGGCCAGACGTCTGACGATGAAGCGAGGTGACACCGCAGGTGCTTCTCGTATGACAGATATATCATTGTCCAGAACTGCAAACGAGCTAAATAAAGATCAAGGTGAACATCTATGTGACGGTATGATAAATAAAAGCAAAATATAACGCAAATCTAAATATGTTTCAGTTGTTTTACACAGAAGCAATTTCTTTCCCGATTCTACTACACTTGTATATTCACATAAGAACTATCAATCGTTTGAAACGATTGTTTGCAACAAGAGCGATTACAATGGAAAAAAGCAATAGTTTCCAAAATGATATGGTTTGTAAAAAAGGAAACCGCGATACCTTGATTACATTTTTTCCTGCTTTCAAACTAACTTCGAACGGTGTTAGGATATATCAACTTTACGGCCTACTTTCTCATGTTAATAACATTACAATGATCTTAACAGAATAAAAATCAATCTATGTTTGTGTTGCATTTTCCAGATAATACCTACGACGAAATAACAACTCAAAACAAGGAACAAACCATTGCCCAGATCTCCCGCACTGAGGCAAATTATGAACAGCTTGGACGCAGGGAGGTGGAAATTCCTCATATATACAACACAACAGATGTTGACGAGAAAACTTAGGGCACTGGTTCTTGTTAACTGGATAGTTCCATCCTTCAACACAACGTAACCGTGTTACTGGAACTAAATTACACACCTACAGTTATTGCTGTGATGACTTCGTCTCATAACTTTACACAATAATATGTAGGTGATGAACCTTTAAAGTGTTGTCAATTCCTGTGTGATTTTTTACGTTGTCACAAGATCTAAACGTTAGTTTTGTTACTGTAGAACCCAAACATGTATCATATATCCTCTCACTGTTAAGGTAAAGCATAATATGCATTGAACAAATAGATATCTTTATCTTCATGGGCCCAAAGAAAGAGTTTTATCAAACAAATTATCAACAACAACAAACAAATAGTAAAAGTTATAATCAAGAAAATAATGCAAGAAGGTATCTCACTCATAAAAAGCTCTCGTTCATTAACAATAAATAAAAATCACCAATAACTAAGTGCCTAGCAAGACCATACGTGATCGGAGATGCAGATATATAACATGTTGAGCGAGACGTTATTCAAAGTCCATATGAAAATACCTGGCTTGTAGTTGAGACTGTTGGAAAACCGTAAGAATAAAACTGGTTACATATGTATAGCATATTTACTGAGTAGCATAAGATGCTGCCTTGTTCGTGTACATCTAACGCATGGTCAATTTCACTATCAGGTGGAGATCAGGTTGAGTTATATACATGTACATTATGGAAGAAACAAAATGTTCATGTATCATTAGTATGCACGTGAATGAGGCAAACACACTCTGCATCAACTAGTAAATCAATATAGAGCTGTATCTTTTAAAAATAATATAATGTATTTTATTACTGTATTTTACATGTAATTTATTAGGTTACACTGCTTCTGAAATCATATTGACTTTTTTCATATTGACCTTGGAAAGAAAATTGACAAATTGTATTCACGTATGTATACCAATGGATTCTTACTGGCCAAATCCATGTTACTAAAAGATTGATCTGTTTTATATCAACTGTGATGCATTTGAACATTTCCGGTAGGGTTACATTAATATCGTGTATCTTATTATATAATGTACAGTACTGTATTGTGAGTATTGTTTTAAAAGTATACCACTAAAAACGCAAGAATATGGACACCTCATTTTCTGGTTGATGTTTTTTTATGTCACCTTACAAGCATAACCAAAAATATATCATATGCTTCAGCAGAAATATATCCCAATCACAGTCCCGAGTATATGTAAACAGAAAATCATTGATGCACATAAACCTATCTTAATTCAAATACGGCATCATTCTCCCTCTTAAAATGTTGTTATTCCCTCATGATGTGTATCGTTACATATAATATCCTACTTTATGGTATCGTTTTACTTTGAACCTTGCCACAAACTATAGTCTTAATCGGAGTTCGGAGTACAATGAGTCAAAGGTATGTAACCAAGTGATAAGGAAAACAATAGACTACTACCTAGATTTGATGGCTGATTAACCTATAAATAAACTCGATGGTTGGTTAATGATTTCTGTTTTTTGTCCATGGTTATCGAGGATTATTTCATGGTTCCCTACACACGGCGCGACATTTATGACGCCGATACAAACAGAGAATGGCACTACACTGACAGCAAACTTTACATGATGATTTAAATGTATTACATGTTAACGAACATATTCATAATTGTGCTAACGATAAATTCACGGTTATCCCTATATACTAAATGTATTCTTGCAATGTTATAAAAAGGGAAACCAAAGAACCCGGTCTGAATAGTTCACAATAAACGTATTTTTATAAGACCATTGTCGTGAAAGGGAAACAAGGGATATCCCATACTTTGTATTGTTTGTGACGTGATAGTATTGATGACGTCCTAATTTCATGTGCACTCTTCAAAATACACAGTCTTCCGAAGAACCTCATTCAAGGTTAAATGCTAAGAGACTTTTTCTGTTATTTGTTTTTCATTATATATATATATATATATGTATACATGTACCAACTAGAAAGTTTATTCAGGTCTAGGGATACAATTACACAGGTATTCACTGAGGATTAAGATATGTATATATATCAAATGGATCGATACATTTTAAGCCTTACTTTTGTAGTTATTTAAAATGTTAAACGAATCTTGGTTCAACTTCTATATTATTGTGCTATTTTATCCAAAGTATATGAAATAAATAGATCGCCCCGTTCTTTTATGTGCAAAATGAATAACTAAAATTTGACAAACTCAGTTGTCGTCTGCACTGTCATTATTACTTCTTTGCATTAATGTGTATACAGAAGAGCTTAGGTTTACCGATGTATATTAACAACTTTACCGATTCTAAATCAGTCAGGTGTAATCCTCAATGAATACCTGTGTTTTGTATCCTAGACCTGTTTGAACTTCCTGGTTAGTAAGCTGTTTTACAGATTAGGTGTTTGACTTATAGCCGACCAGACATGAGGCTTTACCGCTACATATTCCCGCTGGTCATCTGGTCAGTACTGAGAACGTTGACGTTGGCTAAGGCATCAGGTGAGAACTCCTATTGAAATTCATGTAACAGTCACAGCACTGACACCATCGCCCTCATTAAGATATGCAGGCGTTACTTCGTGATCATTTCGTCACATTATTGCATATTTTACCAACCGGCTAAGTCAAATAAGAAAGATTTTAATGTTATGCTACAACTAGAATGAAATATCTTTAATGTAACCTGACAGGATATCCAAAGCTATTTTGTGTGATTTATCCTACGTAGCCTTCAACAATGTCTGTAAATGCATGGTCAGTGTAACGCTCCGGTGCAGTAATGGAGAATATGTGAAAGTGTAAACAACGCTCATTCTGTTTCGCAAAAATACACGAGTGTCGAAGGAAGACGGCTGATAAGGGGAAAGAGAACAAAATTGTCTGGAAGTAGAATTATGTTTAAAATCACGTCTTTACGGACTTGACATATGTATCTCTATATTAACCCCTTTGAGTGTGCAAGTTGTCCTTTATATATGTATTCGCTGTCGATCGAGCACGTGTGTACGCGGTCACTGAATAAACTTTTGACTATCACAGTGGTTCACTAAAAGGTACACATTATTAGTTATATGGTTTGTTACTGACCTACTATGGAACCAGAGAGGGTCAGTACAATTCATAGGGGGTGAGGCCGAATTTATCGCATCGAGGACTTTTTTATACTCCCTTTTGATACACATTAAAATTAAGTAAACATGTATTTATAGAAATAAGCTAAACTAAAAAAAAGTTGGTGTTCCGTAAACACCTGAATCAATGTGTATTATATTTACTCATTGAAAAATGAACATCATCGTTTATTTGATATATCATTTGTAATTTGTATTCGTTTTGTTTTTTGTTAATTCTGGAAATTAAAATTTAAAGAGTTGTGGGTACCCGAAATAATTTTATATTTATGTTTACCCTTTCCCTTCTCTCTGTCTTTCACAAAGAATAAAGTCACTCCATTTTAATATGTGAAAGTATGTAAATTCACCAAAGATTTACTGGTATACTCTACTTTCCTGTGACTGAAGTTGACAAATTAATAGTTCGTGGATTCACTAACAATAAAATACAGGTTCCCAAACGACTGATAATTGGCTATCATATTTATTAAGCTCGAGTTAGTTCAAATGGTGTACAGACACTAGCTATACCGACTGTTTTCCCATTTGAAACTTTACTACTTACGATAAACACATAGAAATGTAAAATATGGTATCACAATTGCAAATGACATCGCACAGTATTGTAACTTGATGTAATAATTGAAATACTGCCCAGTGTAATAAGGTCAAGGGTGTTACGTACTAGTGGGTCAGGAAAAATGTTAACCAACTCCTAGCAAGTTTATTCAAAGAGTCGGAAGTGAGGAAACCTACAGTACTTGTGGGAGAAACAACTTTCATAAGTTCTTATTCACTTAATATAATATATTGTGTTAAAAGAATTCAACACATCGACATTATTAGGGCTTTTCACGAACTGGTGTAAAGACCTATTGTTTTTGTTATGTTTCTTATTATTCTTATTCTTATTATTCTTCTGCTGTTTTGTGGAGTCTGTATCTTTTGATTGGTAAAATATAAGTTTATAGTCTTTTAAATATGTTGGTGGCCAAGGTCAGAAGATGTTTCATGAACATTTCCAAGTAGGTCAAAAATCCAATATAGCCGCCATGACGTCATAGGTTAAAATCTTTAAAACCGCTATAACTCCAGAACCGTTGGTTGTACAGAACTTGTGCAATGATATTATTTGTAGATAATTTCCATATTTAACTTTTTTTGGTTACATGTTAACACAAAATATTTCAAATAAAAAAGCTCGCTGTTGGGTCAAAGGTCACCATTTTTTAAAAAACATTCATTTTTCATTGTTTTCTACAGATCGATGGAGGATGTCATTCCGATGAAGTTGATGTTTGAAGTTTTTCTGTAACCTTTACCGTTAAGGTTGTACTCCATTTTGAATTATTTCCTTTGATCTTTTAAAAATTTCGCAATATTTTAAAACTAGTTTTACTCCAATATCAATGACAAATATGTCGTTTAGTTGTTATGGAAAAGATTTCCCCAGATGTCCTCTAACCTTTGGTAACATTTTCAACTTCATCGAAAAAACAAAATAGCCTCCATGACGTCATAGAGTAAAATCTTTAAAATCGCTATAACTCAAAAACTGTTGATTGTACAGAATTTGTGAAGTAAATTATTTGTAGATAATTTCCATATCTAACTACACTACATGTCAATACAAAACATTTCAAATTAAAAAGTCAAAGTTAAAATGCACTATATTGGGTACCAACCTTGACCAATCTCCTTTTTAAGTTTCACATGGTCTAGAGTCTTGACATTTAAAAATAAAGAATCTGAGATGTCGATGTATCAGGTTTGAAAAAATGGTTGACATTGATGAACTATCAAGGTCACAATCAAGGTCACAAACTTCCTATGTGCTATTTCAAGATAATGACTTCAAAAAACTTCTTCTAAGGTTCTACAAGGTCTGGAGTCCTACTATTTAATACATTAACATGGTCAGATGATTGACTATCAAGTTTGAAAAAATGATTCCATGGTAACGATCACTACATCGATTACTACGCACTCTTAATCTTAACCTGTGGTACGGTTAGACAGATATTTAGGCATGTAATTGTATTTCCACCAACAACATTGAGATGATAGTAGTTTTTTTCGCCCAAAACAAAAATTCCGAATGAAAGTTAAACGTGATCTCCGCCGTTTTGTCCACGTTTTAGTCACGTTGGTAGTATTACTAATTTCGGTTTATATTCGGTTTACATAGTTACATTGCCGCGCAAATATTAATATTTTAAACTGTTGTCCTTGTTGTTACGTACCCTTGTTACAAAATAAACGTCGTGAGAAATCTCGCATCAAACATATTCAACATGTTTCTTTAGTGCATACTGAATCTTTTTTATGTATCCCAATCGATTTGTATAGTTCATGTCGGCAGTGAAGGTTTCTTAA